CAATAGGTTGCATATTGTGATTGGCAGTGAATCCTAGTGATCGATTTATTTTTCATTAGATGAAGTTATTGAAGGTAATAAAATAAGTGTTCTTAAAATGAAGAAAAGTTGCATGTTTAGACTTTTAATAAACAATTTTTATCTTGAAGGTCAGATGAACAAAACTTATAAAGACATGTCAAATTATGCATTGAAAAATAAAAAAAATGCCACATATTCATAAATGAAAAATGATCTCAATTTTCATTATCAAATAATAATGTATCAACGTTACATCCATGAGTCAAAGAATTACTACTTTATGATTGAGATAATAAGTTTTTATATACAGCCTAACTTATTTTGTATAAAAATAAGTGTCATGATATGATTGTTATATGTATAATTAATAAAACTTTATGAAAGTTGAAACTCTCGGCCAAAATATATCTATATTATACTAATATATACACTAAAGTAAAAATAACTTTTACTTTCATGAATGAGACCCAAAAAAAAATTTCAATTGAAAATATCCTTAATTTGAGATAGCGTTAAGACAAATTTATACGTAGTATTTAGCACTTTCATTTTATCATGTTTCACTTTTTTCTCATTTTTGGAATGATTTGGAAGTTATTATAATTTTTTAACCAATTTTATTGAAATGATTTCGGGGTGTTTAAAATATTTTTATTCTCTTGTGTTCCACTTTCATTTCCGTTTAGTACCTGTAGTTATTATATTGAATTAAATAATATTTAAAGGGTAATTTTTTCCCTAGCCATACGATTATGTCATCCTACCATATCACCTTCTACATCATTACAGAGTACTAATTTTTTTTCACTCTACTTACCACAACCTTCCATCTTATTGAGTATTTTTTTGTTCTCTTTCCACTTTAGTTTCAAATTTTTCATTTCATTTGCACACTTTTATACAATATTTAGAATAGAATCTTCACACCCTTATTTAAAGGGATTGTGTCAACTTCTGAGAGTTCACCATTGCACATAGAATGAATATCTTCGAAATGATTGTAATCGACTCTTGGTGTTGTGGATTTTGAATTTTGTCTCGTATAAGACTTTTAGATTTCTGATTTTCATGTCAATAGTACGTAAATTAAATAATTGTTTAAAATGCATTAGTTTGGGTAATAATGTTTTTTTTATCATACATCAATCATATTTTCAAGAGACACTAAGATCTATTAGGATGTGATATTTTCCAATAAATAGTTCTACAACGTGTGCACGTTGCCTTTTGAAAAAGTAGAAACCTGGATTCATACTAAGAAAACATCAAAGATTTGTATTACAGTACATGTCCGAGTATTGCAGGCTTGGAGGTTAGTAATATTTGTAATTAAGATAATTGAGTATGAAGAATAACCAAACATTCCAACTCAGTTGGTTGTGAGGTTACCGTGCCTAGTGGGAGGTCTAGAGTTCAAAACCCGTTAGGCACATAAGGGTTCGAAACTCAATGAGTGAGTTTCAGCCCCGATTACTTCAGGCTCCACCCAACCCCCTCCCCCAGACCCCTCTGGAATAAAAAAATAAAGTACACACACAGACGCGCGCACACACACACAATGATATGTTACTGGAAAAGTTATACATGTAATCTTGTATTCTCTGTTATAGACTTATATATAGTATGATCCATATAATAATTTATGAAAAATTTGAGTTTTCAAGTATAGCGATGTTATTGAAGCAATATGGGTGTAGTTTTAAAACAGAAAAATGAATACCATAGGCTAGGGAATTCTATTATACCTCAACAATCTCATTGAGAAGTTTGTGGATTAGAACTATTAAACGCAGCTTACCTTTATTTCAAAACATTTTTTGGTGATACCTTTATTCTAAAACATTGACTTATTGAATTAAATGAACTCAGAAGAGGTGGCCCTAGTGGGAGGGGGGGCAAAGGCCCTGGGCCCTAAAAAATGAAAAAAGTTAGGCCCTCGGTAAGTTCTTTATAATAGGTGTAAGTGACTGGTTTTTCAAACCTAAACTAATAATTTATTGGGTGAAAATTTTTAGGTACTCCTGGGTGAAATTTTTTATGAATGTTTTTGAAAACGTTTTCTATGAAGTGGGAATTATGTTCACAAAATTTCAGTTTAAAATTCCATCTAGAAATCTATTAAATAAATTATTTAAAACTACTGTGTTTTTATGCATATTTTGGTCCAATATTTTTCCATAATTTATTTAACTAATTTCCCAATTGAATTTAAAGATGAAGTTTTGTAGATACAATTTAAATTTGATGAAAATTAAGCTCACAATATTTTGTAATAAAATTCGACTTGGAAGCAGATTTCTCAAATATGATTGTTTGGTTGATTTATTAATTAACTTCATCCATACTTATTTGTTTGATTTTTTAATTGTTGATTGTTATCTATTAAGTGTTGTTGTTATAATTTGTTGATTTTGTTGGATTAAAAGTTTTAACTTTAATTGAATTCATAAACTTAATTAATTTCAAGGTATAATAGAAGGAATCTGGATAGGAAAATTAAAAGAGAGAACAGACGATTAAAAGAATCTGAATGAAAAAATTTGTATAAGGAAGTCAAACTAGCTTATGAATGTCCTCATCTAGATGAGAACTCAAAAAAGAAGAATGATATAACTCAAAATGAAACGGCTCAGAGTGGTCACATCATTGGTGGGAGAAAATTAGGAGTTGATAATAAAGGAGTTAACTTCTTAAAATAAGACTAAAGCATGGGTAAAGTGCACAAATAGGACCACCATTTTTTCTTTCCTAAATAAGAACAACCAATATTATAATATTATTGGTTTTGACAGAAGATAGTTTTAATTTTTGTTTGTTTAAAATGTAGTGAAATATTATATTTGTTATGCATGTTATTAGTTTAGACATAAAATGATTTTACATTTTCTTAGATTTGGCTCATTTTAATTATTCACTCCTAGGTCTTCAATCATAGAGGACCGGCCCTGGAACACGGTGCATAAATTCATACATGAATAAAATCCATATTCATGGTTATGAATTGTTTTTATGATTAGTTTTTCTCAATTCGATTGTTATCAATAAACTATTAAATTAGCTTTTGAGGTTTCCTGTATAATTTTTATAAGTCTCTTTTTGCATTTTAGTACAAATCAATCATGTGTCATCATCTCAATTTTTGGTGACAAATAAAAATTAATTCATGAATACTTTTAAAATATGCATGATTAAGTTCATAATATGCTAATTACTTTCTGTACGTCTATCTCACTTCTTCTTGTATAGTGATTATATAACTCCATAGTAAGGTAACATAATTAATTCCAAATTCTACTCATGAATACTTTCAAGAGATTTATTGAATTCTAATCTCTAATCTATATAGAGTTCTAAATTTAAGGAAGGACTGCATTAAAAACGTTTTTAGTTGGACCGAATTTTCTGTCTGATTTGTCTAATCTGATCTGGTCAGGTCATATAATCAAGGCTTATTTAACTCTTTTTGTCAAATAGACTTACCTCGTCCAAGTAACAGTTCAGATGCACCATTTCAAAACTCAGTTCTAGACAATAATCTCTAGTTCATATAATAGTCTTTTAATTCAAACATTAGTTTCCACCTACATTTCAAAGTGCAAACATAACCCTAGTCTGTGAGCCCGTTTGGATAATGAGAAAATTTTACAAAAAAATGTATAAAACTTTGTTTAATTATAATCAAACATGACAATTTTTTTATAATTCTTAATTGTATTTTTAAAATTATTAATAGAATTAATTTTTATTATTTTTATATATGCAATATTGGTGTCATATGAAAGATAATAAAAAGTTATGAATTTTGATATATTTTCTGTAACAATCGAAGTACAAATAAAAAACTTATATCACTTTAAAATAAATATGAGATTTTATTTTTTGAAATAAGAAATTAAAGTTTTAATTACGTAGGATTCTAAGGATGTTTTTACTTGGACTGTAATTTGTCCCAGACCAGACCAGACCAGACCAGATCAGTCCAGACCAGATCAGACCAGACTTGGATAGTTATAAAAATACAAAGAAACCAGACCTTACCAAACCAGACCAGACCAGTTCAGACCAGACCAGACCAGATCAGACCAGACCAGACCAGCAAATTACAGTCCAAATAAAAACATCCTTAGACATCTTAGAATTAACGTAAGATTAGTTCTACTCTAACATAAATTACTTACTAAATTACTTACTAAAGTTACGGAATTATATAATTAGTATGCTAAATTTGCTTAGAAGATGACACATGACAAACTTTCCCTAATTGTATCTCTCAAATGTATGTATTATTATCTATAGATAGATACATACTACGTATTAAGTATATATCTGAATTTACCTAGTATGAATTTATATTCAGTAGAGAGACTCAAACTCACACTTTCTAATTAAGTTAACCACGAGCAATTATTTCATGGTTTGATTGAATATGAATAGGGTTGGGGCGAAAGTGATGGTAATTCCTGCTTCGTGTTGTAAGCGTTTGGAGAATTGGATTATTGGGTTTATGTGTTCTTAAAATGGAACAACTAAACAGTGCACTATTTTCTCATATTCTCTCATTGTTTGAGCGGTTGAGCCACTCTACTGAATAGATTACACAAAATTGTCTTAAATAGGAGTAAAAACGTTTTGAAATTTCAAAATAGGATCATCATGTTTTTTAATCCTTGAATAGGAGTAATTTGCTGAGTTTGAAAAAAAAATGACATGTTTAAAGCCTAGTAATGTCAAACTTGGCAAAAAATTACTCATATTCAGGAAATAAAAAACATGATAGTCCTATTTTGAAATTTCAAAACGTTTCAACTCCAATTTAGGGAATTCCCTCAATATATTAATGCAGCTCACCCTATTTATGAGAATTTTATATAAGACGTTTAAAGAGAAAAATGTGAACAACTTTTTTGTGGGACAGAGCTATATTTATGAGAAACTTAATATGAGACTTATAAGAAGATAAGTGTGAGCAACTTTTGTGTGGGACGGAGGGACTCCCATATAAATAAGCAGCTCGCATAAAATGGTGAAGCAAAAAAGAGGTGAGCTGCATATATTCAGTAGAGAGACTCAAACAATGAAAGAAGACGAGAAAATAGTGCATTGTTTAGTTGTTCCATTTCCAACCCAAGGACACATAAACCCAATGATCCAATTCTCCAAACGCTTACAACACGAAGCAGCCATTAAAATCACACTCGCCCCAACCCTATTCATATTCAATGAAACCATGAAACACCAAATCCCCTCCACCACTACTTCCTCCCCTTTCACCATTCACCCCATCTCAGACGGTTATGATGAAGGTGGCTTTGCTTCAGCTGAAAACTTTGATCATTACCTGGAAACCTTCCAGAAAGTGGGCTCAAGAACTATAACAGAGCTAGTTCAGGAGCAAAAGAGCAAAGGGTCACCTGTGGATTGCATCATCTATGATGCTTTCATGCCCTGGGTTCTAAATGTTGCCAAGAACCTTTCTTTATTAGGGGCAGTGTTCTTCACAATGTCTTGTGCAGTGGGAAACATCTGCTATCATGTTAACAGTGGCTTGCTTGACCTTCCATTGAAGAAAACAGGGGATGATGGTGATGATAAATTGTTGCAGCTGCCTGGGTTAGCTCCACTTATGGCTACAGACTTTCCATCTTTCATTTCTGATTTTGGGTCTTATCCACCTTTCTTGAAAATGCTTGTGGATCAGTTCTCTAATGTCAAGTCTGCAGACTGGATCTTCTGCAATACCATCCATGAACTGGAGCAAAGGGTTAGTTTGTACCTTGTAGTACTCTCTTAATTTACTTTTCTCGAAAAGTTGTGCTTTTTGTTAAGTTTTGGGGCATTTTCACATTTGATTCTTGATTTTTTTTCATCTTCCTCATTTGGATTCGTAAATACTCCGCGTACGAATTTATGGCCACTTATGGCCATTTTATGATTACAATGCACAGAAATCGACCGGCAAAAAGATGGATAGGATTAGAAGTGTCAAGAAATTTAGAGTTTTGCACCAAAAATGGAAAATTTGAAAGTAAAGAATTCCGTGCATGTTTACATTCATTTATACTTGATTCTCTCTGTTAGAGAAAACTAACAGAGAATCAAGTACAAATTTACTTTCAAAAGAAAGAGAATACTACAAAAGGTATGAGGACTAGACCAAAAACCTACCAAATAGAAAACAGAAAACCGCATAAATTTTCATTTAATTTTCACTTTCTTAATTTATATCTAAAATCTACAAAGTATTTAGAAGATTGTATTGTCCAAAATTATGGTTCTCTATATCATTTGTTTTTATGTTAGCCGTTCAAACAAAACTTTTTGATGTGTCATACACCGTAATTCTTTCAGACTGATCTGTTTGGCTCAACCGCATAAATAGTGACTAGGGTGCTGTTCTGTTCGTCTTATTCTTATTACTTATTGCTTATTCTTATTTTATTCAGATCAGATCAGATCAGATCAGAAAAATTCAGATCAGATCAGATCAGATCAGAAAAATTCAGATCAGATCAGATCAGATCAGAAAGATTCAGATCAGATCAGATCAGATCAGAAGCATTCAGATCAGATCAGAAACATTCAGATCAGATCAGACCAGATCAGAAGCATTCAGATCAGATCAGAAACATTCAGATCAGATCAGATCAGATCAGAAAAGTTCAAACATGATTTTTCACTTTTATTATTATATTAAATATTAATTATTATTATTATTATTATTATTATTATTATTATTATTATTATTGTTATTACTATAATGATTATTATTATATAATTATTATTAATAATATTAATAATAATATGATAAAAAAAGATATTAATAATAGTTATAATTTTTTAATATAATAATAGTAATATAAATGCAATTGTTAAGAAGACTATTATTATGACAACATTATAATAATAATAATATGATTAATATTATTATAATTATATGTAATTATAATTATAATTACAATTATAATTCTTATAATTATAAGTATAATCAATTGTAATTATTATAATTATATCTATAATTAAATATATTTATAATTGTAATTAATTATAATTATAATTACAATCATAATTATAATTATGATTATAATTATAAATATAATATAATATTATAATAATATAATACTAATTATAATAATAATCATATTATTATTATATTATTGTAATAATAATATTAATATAATAATATCGTTATAATAATATTAATTGTATTTATATTACTATTATTATATTATAATATTATAATTAATGTTAATATAATTATAATTATTATTAATTATAATTATAATAATTATAATTATACTTATAATTATATTATAATAATAATTTATGATTATAATTATTATTTTTATTATAATTAATATTAATATTATTATTATTATTACCATTGTAATTATTTTATGGAGTAATTGTAATAATATTGATAACTATAGTTACAATTATAGAGATAAATATTGTAATTATAATTACAATTATAATTATAATTTTATTTAAATTATATTTGTAATTGCAATTATAATAATAATTATAATTATAATTATAATTATAATCATAGAAATATTCGAATCAGATCAGATCAGAAAGATTCAGATCAGATCAGAAGGATTCAGATCAGATCAGAAACATTCAGATCAGATCAGACCAGATCAGAAACATTCAGATCAGATCAGAAAGATTCAGATCAGATCAGATCAGATCAGAAAGATTCAGATCAGATCAGATCAGATCAGAAAGATTCAGATCAGATCAGATCAGATCAGAAAAATTCAAATCAGATCAGATCAGAACTTAAAAAATTCAGATCAGAAACATTCAGATCAGGCGAAGAGAACAGCTTCTAGAAATGGGAAAGGAAAATGAATCTTTATTAATGTTTTGGTTCAGCCTAGTAAAATATGAATCGCAATCATTATTTGATTAAGCCGTCACATCTATTTAGACTTTTCGTCTTTATACGGAGTATAATCTAGTACTCCCTCCGTCCCATTTTACCTGTCCTATTTTCTTTTTTGGGCTGTCCTAAAATAAGTGTCTACTTTCCTCTTTTGGAAAGAAATATGTGGTCTACATCATTTCACTTTATTATACTCAAACCTCAACCACAACTTTTACTTTTTCAGCCACTTCATTAATAACCGTGTCAAGTCAAACCAGGACACATAAAATGGGACGAGGTAGTACTAGTATACAAAGTTTGTATTTACTTGAAATTAATTTGAATAAATGTTCAAAGCTGATTTACTTAGAGCCAGGGGCGTAGCTGGGGGTGGGCTAGACCTGGCTCTGGCCCAGTCCAAATTTTAAAAATGTCTTTATTTTTAGTGTAAAAAATTTCGTGTAAAAAATTTTTCAAAAATATTCTTTGTACCGGCCCAGTCTGGCCCAGTGTTCTGGCTCCGCCCCTGCTTAGAGCCCATATGGGGATGGCTTTCCTATTGATATGATAGACTTTGTTGAACTCTCTCAAAAAAAGAAAAGCTTTAGTTAAATACATTTATGACAAATAAGTAAGTCACAACCTACATTTATGAAAATACTTTTTTTTCAAAAAAAAAAAGTAAGTCAGAACCTAGCTACTTATTCTGTTTTTTTCTGCTCATCATGACCAGAATAAGACACATTTGGCTACCAAACGAACAACTTATTAGTTAAATGGTATTTCTTTCCTTCCAAACTTCTATATTTTCCTCATTTTCTATCCCTAGCATTTTTGGAATTCCAATAGGAGCCTAAAATAAGTGCATCTTTCTTTGGATAGGAAGTTGAATGGATGAGAAAGCAATTGCCATTGAAGGCAATTGGTCCAACCATACCTTCAATGTATGTTGACAAGAGGATTGAGAATGACAAAACATATGGTCTTAGCATATACCAGCCAAGAACTGACATGTGCATGAAATGGCTAAATGAACGATCCGAAGGCTCAGTCGTCTACGTGTCCTTCGGGAGCATGGCGGAGCTAAAGGAGGAGCAAATGGAGGAGTTAGCATTAGGACTAAAGAAAAGCAACCACTACTACTTGTGGGTAGTCAGAGCATCAGAAGAAGCAAAACTTCCAAGAGACTTCTCCGCGGAGAAGGGGTTGATCGTGACGTGGTCCCCACAATTAGACGTTTTGTCACACGAGGCGGTCGGTTGCTTCGTGACACATTGCGGTTGGAACTCGACTCTGGAAGCATTGACACTAGGTGTGGCTATGGTGGCCATTCCGGTGTGGACCGACCAAGGAACTAATGCAAAGTATGTGAGTGATGTTTGGGAAATAGGAATCAGGGCTAAGAAGGATGAGAGGGGGATTGTGGTGAAAGGTGAGGTGGAGAGGTGTGTGAGAGAAGTGATGGAAGGAGAAAAGGGTAAAGAAATGAGAAGAAATGCTGCCAATTGGAAAGGGATCATTCGAAAGGCTATTAATGAAAATGGAAGTTCTGATATGAATATTAAGGAGTTCATTGCTGAATTGTCTCAATCTAAGTTGGAGAAGTTAGCACATTAATGCTCCAACCTCTACTGCAAAATGCAAATGATCATTTGTTTAGGAGAGACCATACAAGACTTCCCTTAAAGGAATCTCGCCCAAATGAATAGCTACATTGCCTTCTACCTCTAGTATACATAATAATACATTTGGAAATGTTATCCCCCCACTCTAAGCCAACTATGTGTAAAATCTATCTTTAATAATATTAATAAAGTTCCTAAAATGATTATCCCACTTTATTTGTAAAATCTATCTTTAATAATATTAATAAAGTTTACGAGTATAATTATAATTATTTCAAAAATACATACTACTTTAAGCAAATTGTGTTTAAGGGAATTTATGTGCCATGATTTAATGTTCCTTAAAATGCTTTTAATTGTTTTCAAGTTTTCAATCTGCTTAAATTTAGCTTGATCAAATTTATATAAGTGCAGTCTGACATGATAAATCTTTGGATTGTGTATATTTTACTATTATATGTGTTTAAATTTAGTCTCTTCGGACCTTTTTAAATCTAATTCGGTCTAAGATTGAAACAGAAAGGGATCAATTAAAAACATCTTCACAATTATAATATTTTCACACACCCTTCACTTGGTTATTGTTTTTCATTAGTAAATACGGAGTAAATCCGAAGCATCTTCTAGTTATCGTTTTACATTTCCAAGACAACATTTATCATATTTGTCCAAATCAAATTGGAATGGTACAAAAAGATTAGCATATTCTAGCAAGTACGACACGCACAAATTGAGAAATGTTCAAATTTACCTTTCTATATACAATCATTTGTTGTGTTGCATTCCCACATTATGATTTCAAAAACTGTGTAGTAATGTATAAAAAATAAATTCAATAAGAGAATATCTGTTTTTAAATTAACACCCAATATATATAATCTCCATTCAGTAGCACTATTCCGATAATTAAACAGAATATATAATATGTAGTATATTTACCGCAAAGAATAAAAAGATTTGAATAAGCAATACAACATTATAAATAGTGCATAGCATATATTAATCTGACTAGGTTAATATGTATAATGTATTTTTAAATTCTTATTTGAAATTCTCGATAGATTGCACACATCACAATCAAACAGAAAAATGTAGAGTCAGTTTGGCAACACTGTTTTTCGATTTATCAGGTTTCAACTTTTCCATCAAACACGTAACGTTTTCACCAATCGCGCGTTGAATTGTGTAATAAGCAAAAAAAAAGTAAGGTTGAAGCTACTTTTCTGGCTGTATTGGCTGAAGTTATTGTAGATGATCATTTTAGCTATTTTTACATACGGAGTATAATGTTTTCTTTATTTTATAAATAAAATATATTTTAAAAATATTTTTTTCTTGAATCAGCAGAATCAGCCAATGCACCAACTTCAGCTAGAACTTCATAAATTTCAGTAGAATCAGTCAAATCAACCGATTTTCATGCTACCAGGTGATAATGTGTTTTGAAATTCTCTAATTGTGGACATATATGAAATTGGATAAGTCTCAACTACTTTGTATTTATTAGCCGTACCTAAACATTTATAATTTCACTCATTTAATGTGTTCATAAATTAATGTTTGGTTGTCACTCTCCCACCAGCTCAGAAGGGGAAGAATTCAGCAAAGTAAAATTCACGTTTGAAAAGTTAGATACCTACTCCGTAATTAATTGCAAGAATTTTTACGCTGTAGTCACTTAAAAATGATCGAATCTAGAGAAGGAAAAAGAGGTCCTTGAGCTCACACATAAAGGTATTATATTTGATCTCTTTGGCTCATTTTGAAAGACAAAAAATTATATTGTATAATCGATTATACCAAGAGCATGACAACCAGTATTTTTGTAATTAGTTAAAATTTGTAGGTCAATAATCAGGCCCCTTATTTCTCTTATCCTTTTTTCCCTACACGGATCGATGCTTGTATTTGTTTTCGTCCTTTTTATTTGCTTTAACAACCTATGCTGTGTGTATTTGTTTTTGTCCCTGCTTCGTTTTCTTTTCTTTTTTTCTTTAACCTTCCTTTCGCTTTATTATCTCTAGGGGAGATTCTATGGAGTATTAGGTTTGTCGAGCGCTTCTCTCTCTAGGGTGGTTCGCCGCAGCTAGGGTTTCCTTTCCGCTATCGATATTATCGAGGAGCGATCGTCTCCTTACATAGTTAGGTTTTTTTTGTTCCACCGAGTTTCGTTCGTGCAACTTGGATTATTGTAGAACGAGTGTTTTATGCGATTTTTCTTTTGAGAGTTTCGGAACGTGAGTGGAACGCAAGGGCGGTGGGGTGCGGCTTGGATTTTTGTGGACGAAGAAACACAAGGCAACATGATAAAGTTTTCTTCTGCACCGCGGGCATAGAATTCAATGGCAAATCTCAAGGAGCAAATTGACAAGAGCAAATAGGCGAGCGCAAGAAGCAGGGCCGGCCCAGGCCAAGTGCCAGCAGCCCAACCGCACAGGGCCCGTAAATTATGAAGGCCCAAAATTTTAATAATTCACCTATTATTAAAAACTAATTAAAGCCCAGTAGTGAACCCACTGCTTCATTAAAAAGTCTTATAGCCAAGGGGATGAACACTGAATTCTTCTCACGCATGAGAAATGTAAGCCACCTCAACTACTTGATCAATGTTAACATTCCTTCAATATTCATTTCTATATCATACAATTATTGATATAACCCATAAGATTTTAAACCCAATACCATCAACTACAATTGTTGATATTATTTTGTAATCATTATAATAATTTTTTTTGTATTGCATGTCATTATTAAATAAATAAAATATTAGATATTTGTGAAATTTTCATTATATTCATAATTATATTTCTACCTATTTTAGAAAAAGGCCCACATTTTGTTTTTGCACAGGGCCCATGTTTTCTTAGGACCGGCCCTGGCAAGAAGAATAGGGTTCAGACAAATTTTCTGGGGGTTGAAATTCTCTTCGGAATTTCAGCAGCTCGCCCTCCTTCGGAATCACCTCCGTGCGAGGAAGCAATTTGGGGAAAGCTTTTATTTTCGTACTATCTTTCCCTTTGTAGTACTTATTTTTATTTCAGTTCGAGCATATATAGTTGAAGTATTTTGATTTTTGAAGAACTTTTGATAGACAATGCTTCATTTTCGGTCGTTTTAGGCTTCTTTTTTCCCGTTTTGTGTCTAGAGCCCGTTTGGTAGCACCAAAATCGGCTGTTTTGGCTGATTCTGCTGAAATTTATGATATTCTGGCTGGAGTGGTTGTTTTGGCTGATTCTGCTGATTTAAGAAAAAAATATTTTAAAAATATATTTTATTAATATATTAAAGAAAAAATTATATGTAAAAATAGCTAAAATGGTCCTCTACAGTAACTTCAGCCAATACAGCCAGAAAAGTAACTCCAACCTTACTTTTTCGGCTTATTACACAATTCAGCGCGCGAAAGTAAAAGTTACGTGTTTGGTGAAAAAGCTGGCTGATAAGCCTGATAAGCCGAAAACAGAGTTCTCCAAACGGGCTCCTAGTGAGTCAGGTTGCTTTGTATGGGTGGCTGACTCTAAGTCTATTCCTAGGGCTTACGATCGGATCTGCAATTGTTGTCGATTTTGTCTTGCATGTTTGCTCTATATTAATGAAAAACTGTTTTGATGATATAAAAAAACTTTCGCTTTAGCTTTATATTCATTTATTATTAAAATATAAAATATTATTAAATGTCACATCCTTTTTTCCCTTTTCCAATCAAACTCCCTTAATAATTTGTCCATTATCAAATATTTTAGGTAATTATGTTTTATTTTTCTATTTTTGATTTTAAGATGAATATTTATTATTTTATTAAATATTGTGTGTTAATTATTTTAATATTGTGTGTTTTATTACTAATTGGAGTTTTGTATTATATTAAAATGTGTATAGTGTTCAAAATAATCGAGTAAACATGATAAAAAATAACATGATTAGTTTTATAATTGAAGAACGACAAATTATAAATTATTTACAAATAAAATTGTTATATTTTTCATTTTTATAGATAGTATAATGATAGTTAATAAATTGCCATTACTATGTATATGTTGGGAAAAACTCGAACTTTTCCCGCTTTATGAAGTTAAGATATGCACTTAGGAATCAAGATAGTAATGTGACCACACGAGTTAATTAAATTCTCCAATATGGAGATTCTTCCACTATACAAAAGAATATTCGGATTTACAAGGATGTGTTTACAAAATTGTCTCACTCTGTGATTGCCCACTCAAGCTTGAGAATATGAATTTCTCAAGCTATCTCCCTACTCTCTCAAAGAGGCTCTATAACTTTCTCACTTAAATAGTAGATTCGCTCTTGCTAGGATGGTTCGGAATGAAGCCTTCCACCCCTATTTATATTACTTCGATCCACCTTCACAATGAATGGTAGGGATGATTTGTATCCAATGGTGGAGCTTGATTCTCTAGAATTCTCCACACACTTTAGGAGACTCTATACTCTTCCACTCCATTCCATATTATTCTATAAGCTTCTGGAAGGTTCCACACATCTTCAGAATATTTTAGAGGATTCCACAGTATTTCACAAACTTCTAAAAAGTTCTAGACTTCTCTAGAATTCTTCGGAGTCTTCTAAAAATTCTACATTTCTCTAGAAAGTTATAGAATTTTTCGGAACCTCTCCAATTAAGAAGGGATCTCAATAGTATATACCTCTCCTCCAGAGCTCCAACACCTAAAAGTTAATTAATTAATTAATTAATTAATTAATTAATTAATTAATTAATTAATTAATTAATTAACTAACTGGAAAATCTCGCGTCTAGCAGTGCATGGTTTATATCATCTTTTATCCATATTAGGGCAATAGCTAGAGAGAAGCCAAAAGTTTTTGAAGTGCGTATATTGTACAACTGGTTGTATGGTGTGAGCCGTACAACCGGTGCCATTTTTGCAATTTTAGTTGAAACCACAATTTCTCTTAATTGAACATCATTGTAATAGTATTGAGCGTCAGATTTATTGTGTTGAGTATTATGATTCTAGTATTGAGCATCGTGATATCTGTTTCATATATTTTAATTCACCTTTTTATCTAATTTTTTTGTTTATAAAAAATTCTTAACTTATATCTATAATCAACTCGTATGATCGGAATTCCAATATGTGAGTCTAATGTAATGTCATACTTTTGAAATATACATCGATATGCAAATCATAAGTTCCACTAGTTAAACATCAAAACATTAAACATTTGCATTGAGCATCAAGCCTCCTCTATTGAGTATATGCATTCTTCACACTTTTATTGAGTATAAAAATTTCAAAAACTATTTAGTATTCAAAATATTTTTATTATCGTATTCTGCAATATTGAACATTAATATTACGAGTATATAATTTGAAATATGAATTAATAAGAAAATCGTAAAACATTTTCATTAAGCATCAAACCTCCTTATATTAAGAATTCAATTCATGCAATTGAATATCGTGATCTATGCTATCATATCTTATATATGCTCTCATGTCTTATAATTCACTTTCTCATTCTTAGTTTTCCTTTTTTTTTGTAAAAATTTCTTCAATTATAATGTAGTATATAGTAACTCTCTAAGCAGTTAATTTAAATAAATATTGTGTGTTAATTATCAAATAATTATATTTTGAAATATAATTAAAACGATATTATACTTGAAGAAAATCAGGATGAGTTCCGTTTTTAGAACTTTCCATTAGAGCAAGTCAAATCATAAGTCAGATACGGTACCGTAAAGTATTGATAACCAAGTTAAGTTGAAACTATATATAAACTCTATTCAACTCGACTCGTACTCAAAATAACCAAGTTAAGTTGAAACTATATATGAACTCGATTGAAAAAGTATTGATTCTTTTAGATTCGTACATATAACATAACATCATATACTCGAAGTATCGATCCATGCATAAAAATTGTACTTATTTTCTACTAAAATTATATTAGAGATTCATATATACTTAACGTTCAAGAAAATTCAAATAAAATTAATTGAATTTAGTTCATCTTAGATTTAAATAAACCATATCAACAAAATGAGCTCCAATGTCTAAGAAACAACTAGGCGAAGAATTAAAAAAAAAATGTTTAAAAATTAATAATGATTGCACATATATGTTTAAACGTATAAAAAATCAAACTCTTTGTTTACAATTTTACATAATATATGTTAACAATGTTGCATATGTAAGATTTCTAAAAGAGGCATTGAAACTTCACAAAATACTTAATAGAAAAGGGTCAAATATAACCTTCTACTGTTTTCAACTCATCAATTAAGTCTCTAACTAAAAAATGTATCAGATAACTACGCTTATTATAAATATACACATTCAATCAATCTATTGAAGCATGCTATAACAGGTTATTTAAAAAAAATTGAAACAATTAATAACTCTTATAAAATATCATATAAATTTACAAAAATGCAACAATAATATAAAAATAGTATAAATTCAAATATTTATAAACAAATTTAAATCTTTAAAATAAAAAAAAGTTAAACCAAATGAAAATGAAAAAAATAAAGTGAAAGTGTGAAAAATATAAAATTAAAATGCAATAACGTTTAAACAAATTTAACTTTTTTTTTTTGAGTTTTTAAACTTTTTTAATAATAATGATGGAGCGCCGACCTAGGAGTCGCCGGAATCCGGGAATATAGGAGAGATTGAAAAGTGTTAAGTAAGATCGGGTGAAAATTTGAGCAGAGTAATTAATAGCAAATTCTTACAGCCAAAATCGGATCTCTTTTCACAGGTTTGAAGGTGATATTTATTTATACTAAAAGAGAAATGCTTGGCCAAAAAATAAAAAGATGAAATTCTATTGTCGTCAAGACATATGTCATGCCTGCCTAACAGAACAATTGTCCCAGTTTAATAATATGGTGACACATGTGAATTGATAGTTGGGACAGCTGGCTCATTGGCATTGTGCGTAACAGAATTTGTCCTTTGTGTACCAGAACACGCGTGTGTTTATCCAGAACATTCTTTGTGATAACCGCCAGGGTGACATGGCTCTTGTACATTGTTGGTGATGTGGCGGCAGTTTGTACGACACTTACTTGTTAAGATGTCTAAGACCATTGTTGGCTAGTGAGGCCTCGAGCTCCCCCAAACGAGGTCAGAGCTTGGGTGTGGCGAATAGTTCTTGGAGAGTTTTACCCAGTCTTCTATTTGTCTAGCTAGTGAAGATCTCTTACTTTTGATGACTTCAGTTGACTTCGAGTCTGTACACGAGGTAGGATTTGGCCCCGATCTCGACTGGGATCGACCTCGGATTCGATCTTATCTTGATAATCTGGGGGCCTAATGTTGGGCCGACCTCGGGTAGGTCGAGGTCGGCCTCGGCGAAATACTGACTTGGTGTTCTGAAGACTCTTTGTTTGTGAATGTTTGATACCTCTAGGGTGTATGAGAATATACACCATCAAATAAATTTGCTTTATAGACTTTTCAAAGTAAGCATATTTAGATTATACTTTTTGTACTAAAGAGGCATAAGTGATGAATTAAAATGAATATAAGGATCTATTTGACTATTTCCCTTTATTTTTCAAATCAAATTCAGTCTTTCTTTATTGACTCGATCGATTAACACCCATATTTCCGACATTAATTCAATTATTAATTGGAAGGAGCAACACAATTTAAATAATGATATAGATAGATTAATTATTTAATTTTATGGTACCTCACAAATGATTGCACTTATCATGAATTTCATTTGTATTTAATCATTTATTCATATTTAAATTATTTAATTGCAATATTTTAATGATTTTAATTGATTTAAGACATATGGAGTAATACTTTAAGAATTTAGGAGATATACTGGAAAAAAAACAGAACAATGATTGATTTTAATTCATTAGCTTATCTGTATCCGTTGGTTTTAAATTAGAAACACATAATTGTTTGATTAGACTATCTATTTTTGTACTTCCTCAGTCCCACTAACAAGGGAGTGTCAAGAAAATCAATAGAAAATTATTTATGTGATTGATATTGAATTAATAAAGTAAGAATAAAGTAACAATGATTTATAGTCACACAAACTTTGTCAAATTTGGTATGAGACAATCTTAGTGGAACGGACCGAAAATATAAAATGGGACAATCTTAACAAAATGAGGGAGTATATTTTTATTCACACTTTATTTATAACTAAAATAGCATAAATTTTTTTAAAAGTGTAATTACATCATCCCTTGCAGGATTAGCCAAAAGAAGGAAATGTCTAACCAAAAGTGAAAATAAAATACACCCTCCATATTTGAAAGTTCTCTACAATAAGTTTGGACACATTATTTAAGAGTGAAAATAGTAGAGATATTGAATAATGCAGAAAAAGTATGATAGAATGTGGAAAAGTATAAAATAAAAGATAAAATGTAGAAAAAGTAACAAATGCGGAGTATTGAAATAGAGAGAAGTAGCAGCTACATAAATAGAGAACCAGCTCGGCGGGCTGATCAACGGACTCAACCGCCCAAGTGCCAAAATACCGGTTTAAATGCCGATTCTTCATAAACCGGCAAGCCTGCAACTAATAATTCAAGCCCTTGCTCTTGTTGCCCATCATCGCCGGCAGTTGGACGGTGGAGGAAGCAAACAATGGGGTTTCAGATGCTGAAACAACCCATATGCACCTTTTGCGCATTCAGCTCGAGAAATAGCAGCTTTAATTCCTTCTCCAAATCCAAAGTAGTTCCTCGGTTTCCCGGTGCGTATTTCAATTACTCTATCCTTGTCAATAATCCGAAGGAAGTTAAGAAAATAATTTATCTGATCTTGGTCTCTTTCATGTTTACTTTCTAAGGTAAATTGATGGGAATAAAGGTTTCCATGTCTCAGGGTTTTGCTTCTGCAACATCGGCAAAGGGTCAGAAGAAGTAACTACACTTTTTTAAATGGAAATGTTTACTACTCTGTATATTTTAATGAACTTTCATCGTTAAGGAGTTTGTGTTTGAAAACAGAATGATTTTTTTACAGGAAGAAGAGACTAGATGAAATATGCCTCGAGAGATACCAACAATATAGTCGAACATTTATACAATCGTGGATTCTGCAAGGTAGGCGTTGCACATTATTCATTCACTAGTGTATTTTCAGGCGGCTATATTTTTTATTTGATATTAAGTGATTCTGACAACTGCCTGTTTGTAAATTTTCATTCTCATTTCTATGAACAAAGTTACAATTTGAGGTTATTCCTCTCACCTGCAGGGAAGGTGCTCGTAGATGGTAAAGTTGTAAACAAAGCAGGAACCCCAATCCCTGACAAAGCTACTGTGGAGATTATAGCTGAAGTTCCAAAATATGTATGTAGGTGAATATGTACTGTTTTCATCTTTCTTTGTTCATAAACAACATCTCTTCAGATTCTGGAGTAGTTGTAAAACCTGTTACGTTACTTACGTACTTTTGCATTATAGCTTTATGCTATTCTTTTACATTTGATGATATTTTAGCTTATATAGTGTTTCATTGCTTGGACAATGTGACGTTTTTATTTTTATATTTTGGAATGGTATACATCAACTAGTAGTTTGGTCAGAATGCCACATGAAGGATTTTACTAATTTGTTACCTCAGCTAAGGCCTAAAACTTAAAAAAAATCGTAGTACTTCAGTGTAACAGTGTTATTTCTTGACTTGTTGTGGGCTAGCTACGTATAGAAAGTAAAGAATTTTCAAATGGAAATTCATTTCAACCTTTAAAGTTGAAACTTTTTTTGGAACTTAAATATTCTTCAATCTTCATAATATGGAAATCATATACACGTGATTTGTGACATGTGTGTATTAGTATAGCGTTTGCTAAATTTTGATTGTGGTATGGACTTTATTTGCATCTAATCAGAATTGTCATTCATTTGCATAGACCGTGGTACACTAGTAGTTTATTTACTGGATTTGCAGAGGTGGACATAAGTTAGAAGCTGCTATTGAGCAACTGGGGGTGGATGTAGTTGGAAAGGTAGCTCTAGACTCTGGCTTGTCAACAGGAGGGTTTACAGATTGCTTACTGCAGTATGGTGCTGCTTTTATTTATGGAGTTGATGTAGGATATGGCCAGGTATTACTTTTATACTATGTATTTGTTTTAGTTTACATGAGAATGCAGATATTGGCTTCTATTGTGTGAGCTACTAATAGGTACATTCGTACTGCTTGCTCAGGTTGCTGACAAAATCCGCAAGGATCAACGTGTAAGTGTTATAGAGAGGACAAACCTGAGATACCTATCTGAACTCCCACAAAAGGTTGATTTGGTGACTTTGGATCTCTCCTTTATTTCAATACTTCTGGTAAGGTTCTTTGACTTGGCATGCCTTCATTTTGTTTTTGTTTGGGTGTTGGAGGGCTCCACATTACATTTTATTGCTGTTTTGATAGACTCAATTAGCGTTGAGCAACACATTACACTCCTTTGTGGTTTACCATGATTGTAATGAAATCATATTTATTGCTTGGTTTTGAATTGATCCATTTTCTCCTGCGGTGCCTCAGGTCATGCCATCTGTGGTCAATTTGATGAAGGAAGAAGCGTCACTAGTTACTTTGATTAAACCTCAGTTTGAGGCGCGGAGATCCCAAGTAAGCTGTATATTAAGATTTATGGTTCTATTTTACTTGATCTGTGTGAGGCATACTTCAACATGTATCCTCATGTGAACAATTTGAGGGGTGGATAAATGAGTAATGAACCACCTAAAGTCCTAAATCATGACTGCAAAACAAACAAAAAACAATTATAGCAAGTGGGTCGACTATGATAATATTTTAAGATTTAGATTCCATTCTAAAAAGTAAACATGATAGGAGTAGTTGGAGATATTTTATAGTAGAGAACGATTGGTGACACTGAAATTGATTGAATCGACTAAAATTGATGAAATTCTGACCGAAACAGCTGAAAAATTGATTGAATCGACTAAAATTGATGAAATTCTGACTGAAACGGCTGAAATAGCTGAATCAGTTGAATTATGGAAAAATATACTTAAAATATTGGGAAAACTATCAAATAAGTCCTTGCACTATAGTGAAAAAGTCAATTATGTCCTCCTATTAAGCCACCCAATCAAGTCCCCAAACTATTAAATAATATTCAATCAGGTATTTCAGCTGGTTATATACCCATTATGCCGGTAATGGCTGATGTGGTGAGCCACGTGTCAAGAAAACTTTAATTTCCTGCTGCACTGCACTCAACCTTGGCAGCGGTGGTTTATCTCGTTTTGAGGACAGACTGGAAGTGCCCGAAGTGCGTACAGGTCTAGCTTTGGAGGGCATTTGGTGGTGGTCCTTGTCCATCAGATTCCGGGGCTGGTACTGAAGCTGGATTTGCCGGTTTGAGACTACCGCCGGAAGTATTCCAGGAGGCTCATCTGGTTTTGTACCCAGCTCAGGCAGGGTGGAATGGGAACTAATTAACTTTGATTGGTTTGTTGGTGGCTCTTGTTCACAGTTTGGACTTTGGAGGTGTACGTACAAGCTAAGACTTGCACCCGGCCTGGGCGGTGGCACAACTGTCGGCCGACGACAGCGCTAGCGACAACACCGATGGTAAGATATAAGATCACATCTTGTATGATCTCAGTATGCACTAGGGGACGAAGATGGTATGTGGCAGACGTGAGGATGAAGATGATACGTGACTCAGCCTTGTCACATGCTTAAATGAAAAAATTAAAGTCAACAGATTGGCCACATAAGAGAGTGACCGGATAACCGGTATTTAACTCACTAAAAAGCAAAATTGACCGTTTTCTTAAAGTTTGAGGACTTGGGATGTTTTTACTTGAACTGTAATTCGTCCCAGACCAGACTTGGATAGTTATAAAAATACAAAGAAATCAGACCAGATCAGACCAGACCAGCAAATTACAGTCCAAGTAAAAACATCCTTGATTGAACGATTCTATAGTACGAGGACTCAATTGCCATTTTCGCTATAGTACAAGGACCTATGTGATAGTTTTCCCTAAAATATATGTTACTAATCAAATAAAGAAAAAATTATATGAAAATAGTTAAAATGGTTCTCTACAGTAACTTCAGCCAGAAATGTGACTCCAACCTTACTTGATTTTTGTTATTACACAATTCAGTTCATGGATTTAAAATTTGTGTTTGGGAAAAAATTGCTCATAAGGCCGTTAAGCTGAAAATAGGGGTACAAAACGGCCTCTTAATTTAATATTTTATATGAGTCCAATCACCAATGTGAGACAAATACAAACATATGTATGCATGCTAATCTTGAGGAAAAGGGGTTTTCCTTCCTTTTATGTCCCAAAATAAGTTTTTCTTTCCTTGAATTATGTGTGGGTACATATTATTTCTCTGTCCTGTGTATAAATCTCGTCCTGTGTATAAATCTCGACCACAAATGTTCACTGCTCTAGATAAGTTTGTTAAGTCAAATGGGCAACCTTTTTCTGAATGGCGGCACACAGAATTACTCAAACTGAATGGGTTTTGGGTCTTTGTAGGTTGGGGGTGGCGGAATAGTAAGGGATCCATTGGTCCATCAAGAGGTATATACATTTTGTTTCTTGTTTTAAATCTAAATAGTTCACTTCAATGCTAGACTAAATGTTATAAGACTGTGAGGCTCTCTTTTTTATTGAACAAGGTCGTAGAGAAGATCATAAGTGGAGTGAAAGATTATGGCTTCCACTGCAAAGGCTGGATTGAATCCCCGTTGAAAGGGGCTGAAGGAAATACAGAATTCCTGGCTTACTTCTGCAAGACAGCCATGGAAACAGAAACCAAGCTGGGGCAAGTGTAAATTGATTTTAATGATTAGTGAAAACTTATCATGGCTTCCTTTTATTCCTTTCAACATGATTTGTTGGGAAGAAAAACAATTCATTTCTCCTAATTCCAAAACCTATTTTTATGCACCCCAAGTTCTTCCAATTTTTCGAGTAGGCTTAGAAATTGGGTAGTAACCAACCCAAATTCCAAGTCAGGTCTACCCGACTTGGAGTTCTTATTTGGTTTCTTTATTGTCGACCAGATTCAGGTGGTTCAAAATTAGGATCGACCATTGTTCTTAAATGAGGGTGAACATAAGCCTCCTTTGGCTAGCCAATAATTTGTTTTAGTTCTAAAATGCTACTCCAATATCTTTTTCACTTATGTACACTTTTTATATGAAATTACATAAAGTTAAATCATTTTTATAATCTTTCATGACACCAATATTTATGTAATTATATATAAGATTTAAAAAGAACTACTACGTATTACTTTTGACAAGTTTCTAATGGTTTTCTTGATATTTTATATATGTATTATTGTTATCCTATGAAAGATTGTAAAAAATGTTTAACTTTACATTTTTTTTAATAAAAGGGAACATAAATGAAAAAGTATAGCATTTGAAAAAAAATAGCTGCCACATAGCTGCCACAAAATTGTTCGCTACTTCGCTCCCAAGTCCTAATTGACATGTTACACAAAACGTGAAATTACATGACACAGATTTATTTAGAAAAAAGTAGATCGGGCATACATTTACTTTTATTACAAATAGAGGGAAACATTACTATGGAGTATGGAGGAAACATTACTTTTATTACAAATAGTACAGAAAAACTTGTTTTACAAACTGGGCACTATATATGTTTTTATTTAATTGCTAACACTTTATAGTTTATACGTTCACGATTGCGAACAAACGATTTTAATCATTAACAGAAATTCTGTTAATGATTAAAATCGTTTGTTCGCAATCGTGAACGTATAAACTATAAAGTGTTAGCAATTAAATAAAAACATATATAGTGCCCAGTTTGTAAAACAAGTTTTTCTGTACTATTTGTAATAAAAGTAATGTTTCCTCCATACTCCATAGTAATGTATGCAATTGGCTATTAGTAAAAATAAAAGGGAAAATATATGCAATTGGCTATTAGTAAAAATAAAAGGGAAAACTCAAAGATGATTTGTATAGTTTTTATACTTCTTAATATAAATTTTATTATAATAATAAATAAAATGTGGCCATACTGTCGAAGTAATCCATGTAAAAGTTGAAGTGTTGCAACATTTGAAAAGTTTGAAGATGTTTAATAAGAATATTATTCTGTAATAAATTTTGAATTAATCAAGCTAACTATAAGTTACCGAGTATAATATAAGTAGGGACTAGGGAGGATTATAGGACATAGTAAGGACTAAGGAGTATAATCAAGCTAACTTTTAGAAAAAGGTACCATCCATGACTCCATGTTGGCTTAATTTTAGCTGTTTGGAACTAGAACAAACTGATCATTTAACAACCAAACATTGTAGCAATATGACCAAATATGGTCAAATGTACCAAAACTTGACAGAGCATTAAAATATTTCAAACCTTTCAAAAAACTTTGACACGCTTAAAAGTACATAAAATTATGGAAAATGACATTCATACCCATTTTTGTGTCAGCCGGTTAGGGACAATTTTTCCGTGTCATAAGCGATTTGTCTAAGAAAACAAACTGTTTTGAAAATTTTGTACTGTGAGCCTGTTTTTGTGTCACCCTGACTCTCTGAGGCTGTGATACAAACAAATGTACGAAACATGTATTAATCATGTGTACACCAAATATTTTTGAAAAATATTGGTAACATAGAGGACGTTATGCTAAGTTCAAACTTGAAATTTGTGGACTGTAAATTGGAAAACACTGAGAGCATTTAAACAGTGGGAATGCATTCATCATATTGAATTATAAGAACATACCACAACACAGTACATATTCAAGGATCAAAGTATTAGCAATTACAACATATTACAAATTAACAAAGCTATAGCATCTCAAGTATTAATACAAGTTGCTCACAGAGTTTTCAAATTAGGCAAACTCAGGGAGGGGTTTAAAAGCATATAAAACAGCTTTTGATTAGTGCAGGTAAGGAGTCTGGTAATGGTACCCATGCCCAAAGAAGTTTCCATGCACAGAAATTCCGTAAGCTGGAGTGCCCATGAACGTGGGACCGTGGGTTTCGGTCAGTCCGGTGTAAGCATATGGTCTGTCATAAACATACTGCGGGTACCTGTCAGTCATTCTTGGATAGTTCTTCTCATTGGCATTGTTGGAGAATCGGGGCCCGTTTACAAAACAGTTAGCACGGGGTCTTTTTGGTTGGGGTTTTGCAACTTCTGTTCCTCTTTTGTTGACTGCCTTTGCTTTCTCCAGTTGAAGAAGTCGTTTTTGGAGTGCGCCCACAGGGTAGTGATCCTCAAGCTTATGGTCCTCAATGCATTTTATCACAGCCTTCAGTGCATTTAGTTCCTTCTCATTGATGTCATTCTGGATATTAAAGAAAAAATATTCTTAGGGTTGGAAGTAGGAAACTATTTTCCTTGACTCTGCTCTGATTGAACAAAGGATTCCCCTTTTCATAAGAAGTCATTTTCTTTGGTTGGCTGTGCTTTTCCTTATTTTTTGTTGCATTAACATTACAATACATCAGTAGATGTAAGTTATGTAACTTATGAAATTATTTTCTACAAGTAACATTTTCCATGGAAAACAGTTACGGAGTACCATACTGATATGGAAATATTTCATTAGGTAGATTTTCAACTGTTTGGCACCCGAAAATATTTTCATGAAGGAATATACTTCTTGATTCTTCGAGCTTTTATAGAAAATGACTTTACATTTGTGTCAAATATTTTATCAAGTTATTACACACACACATATATTCTTTACATCCTTTTTATCTTATCATTTTAATATTTATCTTTATCTTACCTTGTATTTCTTATCTTTGAGACTTTTTAAAGGAATACATTCCCTGCGTCAAGTTATTTTCCAGCAACCACAGGGAGGCTTATGGTCGGTTCATATCATCCCTATATCAAAGTAAGAAGGTAGGTCCGTAGGAGGAACAAACCTGTGAACCAGATGTATTTCCAGATTTGCTAGGTGAAGCTTTGCATGCTTCATTCAAATAAGACTTCAGTAGAGAAACAGGTGGGAACTGCTCGGTCAGCTCAAAGGCAAAAGCTAGATTTACAGCATCTATATGCCTTCCATTACTAACCAACACATTGATAACACCTGTGCAATACAGCAAACACTTAGGTGCTGTTCTGTTCGTCTTATTCTTATTACTTATTGCTTATTCTTATTTTATTCAGATCAGATCAGATCAGATCAGAAAAATTCAGATCAGATCAGATCAGATCAGAAAAATTCAGATCAGATCAGATCAGATCAGAAAGATTCAGATCAGATCAGATCAGATCAGAAAGATTCAGATCAGATCAGAAAGATTCAGATCAGATCAGACCAGATCAGAAGCATTCAGATCAGATCAGAAACATTCAGATCAGATCAGATCAGAAAAGTTCAAACATGATTTATCACTTTTATTATTATATTAAATATTAATTATTATTATTATTATTGTTATTACTATTATGATTATTATTATATAATCATTATTAATAATATTAATAATAATATGATAAAAAAAGATATTAATAATAGTTATAATTTTTTAATATAATAATAGTAATATAAATGCAATTGTTAAGAAGACTATTATTATTACAACATTATAATAATAATAATAATATGATTAATATTATTATAATATTATATTATAATTATATGTAATTATAATTATAATTACAATTATAATTCTTATAATTATAAGTATAATCAATTGTAATTATAAAATTATATCTATAATTAATTATATTTATAATTGTAATTAATTATAATTATAATTATAATTATAATTATAATTATGATTATAATATAATATTATAATAATATAATACTAATTATAATAATAATCATATTATTATTATTATTATAATATTGTAATAATAATATTAATATAATAATATCGTTATAATAATATTAATTGTATTTATATTACTATTATTATATTATAATATTATAATTAATGTTAATATAATTATAATTATAATAATTATAATTATACTTATAATTATATTATAATTATAATTTATGATTATAATTATTATTTTTATTATAATTATTATTATTATTATTATTATTATTATTATTATTATTACTATTGTAATTATTTTACGGAGTAATTATAATAATATTGATAACTATATTACAATTATAGAGATAAATATTGTAATTATAATTACAATTATAATTATAATTTTATTTAAATTATATTTGTAATTGCAATTATAATAATAATATTATAATTATAATTATAATTATAATCATAGAAATATTCGAATCAGATCAGATCAGAAAGATTCAGATCAGATCAGAAGGATTCAGATCAGATCAAAAACATTCAGATCAGATCAGACCAGATCAGAAACATTCAGATCAGATCAGAAAGATTCAGATCAGATCAGATCAGATCAGAAAGATTCAGATCAGATCAGATCAGATCAGAAAGATTCAGATCAGATCAGATCAGATCAGAAAAATTCAGATCAGATCAGATCAGAACTTAAAAAATTCAGATCAGAAACATTCAGATCAGGCGAAGAGAACAGCTTCTTAGTCACATAAAGCTCCCCAAACCCCAGACAAAGGTTTGATATTTTTATAGATGAACTGTTCTTCTGTAGCCATCAACCCAGCTAGCTAAAACTCAACCTACTAACGAAAAATCAACTTAGGAAATGAAGCAAATATCAGTGCTGACTCAAATCTTGGCCCATTTGACAGGCATTATATTCAGCTTATCAGCCATTTTTTCAATGAACACTTGCGTATTTCACTTCCCTGGTTGAGTTTCATCTCAAATAAGCTGATAATGAAAAAAGGTAATGAAAGAGTTACTTTTTAGGCTCCAATTGATCCTTTTATCTTTATTTCTAGAAAATTTGTCGATTAATTTTCTTAAATGTATTCTTAAACTAATTCTAATAGATAATTCAGTAGGTTTAGCTATGTCATTTATGTCAAGACCAAAATCAACCGTATAGGCCTTAACAAATGGAATTTTACTGCTAGACATTTTGTATATAAGTATATAACAGATCATGACAGTTACTAGAAATGACACCTTACACATCACCATCATCATCTTACAGAATAAGACACTTTAAAGCTCAAAATCAAATTTTCCCAAGATGGATTGACTGTATGAGAAATCAAAAGAAAACAAGAATGGTACTGAAGTCAGGAGTCAAGACAAACCTGGCATCTTATCAGCCAATCCAAGGGAACGGCATAAATCAGCCATTTGACGGCGACGAGAAACCATAGGTATCAGTTTGATTAAATCCTCCTGGTGAAAGGCCGAATTAATACAGAAAGTAGCAACTAGCTGTAAGAACGCATGAGCTTCCAAAGAGTTCCCGTAATTAGCATCAACGTCAAGTTCATCTAACATTGGTTTCCATTCTTCAGCTACAGCTTTTGCGCGTTCCTTCATATTCTCTGGGATGAAAGTTGATAACATGCAAAGGCACTCCATCAACATTATACAGGTTCTGCGAATTCCTAGAAGGATGGCGTCCTTTTTGGCATCCTGAACTGACACTTCCGAATTGTAGAAACCTTTGAGTGAATCCAAAACTAAAGATGCAGGATTTGCTGCCGCCATTAAAGCTTGTGGAATCTCCTCCCTTATAGCAGCTAGATTCTTACGGTTGTCTGATATAAATTTGTGTAGGCCATCTGAATCCATCTCCTTGCATAGCCTAACTAGCTCAGGATAAGACTTGTTCTCGACATCTCCACTCTCGCAAGGTTTCACACAGTCGACTACTATATCAATGGCTGTTTCTGTGGAATCGGAAGCTTTTTCATCCGGAACACATGATCCAGCTGGGTCTTCAACATTAACAGCACCAGATCCTGCAGAAAAGGGGTTGGAATGCTTACCGAGAGCAATGGAAATGGCAGAAAGCGCAGCGTCTCTTTTCTCTTGGAGGCATTCGAGAGAAGCTTTCTCTTTAGCTAAGACAGCCACTTCACGCTTCTCCAACAAGTCTCTGGATTGAGCGATTTTGGACTCGAAATCCTTCTCCTGGTCTTCCAATTCAGTGAAGCGCCTCTTCAGGGACTTCTCGAGGCCGTGAAAATGCTCTTCCAGTTGCGTCCATTTCAGGTTAAGAGCAACAGCCCGGTGACTCTCGAGTTCAGCGAACGCCTTCTGGAGTTGATGCAACTTTGAGCTTGTGGAGTCCATCTGCACAATCGGCGGTGGTGTTAGAAGAGAAAGGCTCGGGCTTCGGAGAGGAGCTTCATCCGACTGGGACAGGCGGCCGGCAGTTAGATTCTCAGATCTGTTTGAGAGCTGCGCTGCGCTAGCTTGTTTTGGGATGTTTCCTAAATTAGGGTAGCTTATATTTATGGGCCGCATCTTTATGTACAGTGTAGGTTATGTCATTGGGATGTTTCCATGTCATTTCATTTAGGGAAAATAATGATTAAAGGAGTGTTTGTGTTTGCTTAAAAAACCACTTTTCAGCTTTTAGCTTAAAAAAAGTTGAAAAGAGTGTTTTCAAGTGACAGCTTCTGCTTAAATTAATCACTTAAAAGCTAAAAGCTGGAAGCAGGTAGAAGGGTGCTTTAAACTGCTTCTCACTTTTTCTATTACACAAAAAGTACTTATTTTACCAAACACTACCAACTTTTACTTTTCCAGAATCACTTTTTTCTCAAACACTACCAACTTTTACTATTAATCACTTTTCCCAAAATCACTTTAAAAAATCACTTTTTTAAAGTTGAAGCAATTGCAAACACTCCCTAAGGTTTGGTCATTATTAACCCCCGAGCTTTTATTATAGAAGGAAACTCCCCATCCGTTAAATTTAGAGCCCGTTTGGTAGCACCAAAATCGGCTGTTTTGGCTGATTCTGTTGAAATTTATGAAGTTCTGGCTGGAGTGGCTGTTGATGGAGTATATGGCCCAGGAACCCCCGGCCCATAGACTCCTACTTCTCCTACACAAGTCCGTTGAGCCCAGAGAACAACTCAGGCCCAAAGTACAGCGGCCCAAGCCTCAACGTAGCCCAGAATACGCACTGGGGTGCCTTCGGCCTCCTTGGCCGAAGGCTCTAAATCTCACAGGGTAGCCTTCTCTGGCATAAGGGGCTACTGGGAGAAAACGGCGAAAAACATGAGCCTTCGGCATTATCCAGCCCTCGGCATCAGGGAAGCCTTCGGCTGAACAAAGCCTTCGATCACACAAGGCCTTCGGCTACACAGGGGTCCTTGGTCACATGGAGCCCTCGGCTACACAAGGAGACTTCGGCTGAACCAGCTCAATCATCAAAGATTCCTTTTGGGGACAGCCAACCACCGCATTTAAAGCCGCGTCACATCCGCCAACCGCATTCAATGCGGTGAACGTACCACTGCCGGTGCCAACCGGTTGATGTGACCCTTCGGCCGTTGGATTACTGACACGTGTCCTCTCATCGCATTTATTGCTGTTATAAATAGCAGCCCATTTCTCCTTGTAAAACAGGATCTACATCTCAACTCCACATCTCGAGTTCATTTAATAAAATCGACTCTCTCTCCTCCTATTTTGCTCTGACTTCTCTCTAGTTATTCCTGCAATAACCCCTCGGATAAGATACCCCCCGGGTAGACTATCCATCATTTGGTGCTCTCGTTGAGAGGTCAGAACAATCGAGTAAGAAACCCACCCCCTCTACCAAACACAAAATACTTACCAAAATGGGAAGAACCACCCGTGCCCAGTCCAAAACCCTTGAGGAGAACCACATAGCCCCCGGCGAAACCAACGGGGCTGAGGCCTCCAACAGGCTCTTAGTACCCGAGGGTGGTGTCATCCTTGAGTTGGAGCAGGCCACCGCTGACCTCCGTCAGCAGCTACAGAAGAACGCCCCTGATGCCCGCATTGGCCTTGATAATCGAAGGAGGGATCGGAGTGAGAACCAAGTTCCCCCTCCGGCCCCGGCCATCGATCTTCAGGCAGCCTTTGCGGCCTTTGTTCAAAACATGGCTCTCAATTCCGGAGCCCCCGCCTCTCAGACGCCCCTCCAGCCCTACGCTGGAGGAAATGTTATTCAATTGCCACCGCTCCCTCCTTTGTTCAACAATCCTCCCCCGGGGATTGGCAATGCCGAGGGGGTCATGGCGCAGGATACCGCCTCCCAAGAGGCCCAGTCCAGGGACAAGCGCCCCATGATGAAGGAGAAGCCCCGAACCTCTGCACTTGAGAGGCTCGGGGGAGCTCCCGGGCACCGAGTGGTCCAAGACCGCCTCGGGAAACAAGCGCTCAGCAGGCCCCAGGAAAGTGGAGCCTCCGCTTTGGGTGCCGAGGGCGTGCCTCCCCCCCGAAGCAAAGGCAAAGCTCTCCTCCATGCCGATGATGCCAGGCACCAAATCACACAGGCGCAATCCTTCCGGGCCAACTCCCAAGGGGTTGCCCCGAAGGATCCCAAGGACGAAATCATTGAAGCCCTCCTCCGTCAACTCGAGGAGAATCGTCAGGCACTCCCGACGGCTTCCACAGCGAGGCCAGATCCGGAGTACGCTGACCTCCGGGCACAGATGGAGGAAATGAAACGTAAACTTGCCGAAGGCTCAGGCGAGCCCCTCATTCAGCTCCGCACTAGAACACCCTTCACCCCAAGGGTGTTGGCGGCCAAAATCCCCCACAAGTATCGCGGGCAACCCATCAAACCGTATGAGGGGAAGACAGACCCCCAAGAGCACTATAGCCGCTATCAAAATAGCATGATGATGATGGGGGCCTCGGATGAATATTTATGCCGTTGGTTCCTTTCCACCTTGGAGGGACCCGCGTATGAGTGGTTCAACCGGTTGCCCGAAGGCAGCATTGATTCTTGGCAAGAACTTGCCCACCGCTTCCTCACACAATTTGCTGGGAGGCACCGCTCAAAGAAGCACTTCTCCCACCTTCTGAATGTGAGACAACAGAAGGAGGAAACCCTTCGGAGTTTCCTGGAACGCTGGAGGCAGGCCTCCCTCGAGGTCGAAGGCGCCGATGACAGGACCCTGATGGCCCTCTTCCACACCGTCCTCCGCAATGGTAACTTCTCCCGGAGCCTTATCACTGATCCCCCCCGCGATTATACAAAGGCCCTTCAGCGGGGGGATCGATACGCTGAAGCGGAGGAAATCGAGAAGGACCGCCGCAACACGGATCCTTCTCAGAAGAATGAAGGCAGGAACCGGCCCGGAGGGCCTCCCCCTCCGGTCCACCGAGAGGCACAGTACAACGATCGCTCCCGGGGTGGCCAAGCCAGACCCGGGGGTGGTTACAAGAACAATCCGAAGGCTTGGGCACAACCCGTCCTCCTGGAACACCCACGCACTCCCCTGACGCACCCCGTCAGTGTCATTCTTGATCATGCGGAAGAGCGGGGGCTCGTTGAGCGAGACTCCCGCACACCCCTCGAGATTTATGCCATCGGCCCTGATGAGCCATATTGCCGCTTTCACCGCCACCATGGGCACAAAACCGACGACTGCCACCAACTGAAAAACGCAATTGAGAGGCTGATACAGGCAGGCCACTTATCTCAGTTTATCAGGGGCCCTCCTCCCCAGGGCCCCCCTCATCATCAAGGGCCTCCGCCGAAGGCAAACAAATGGGTGAACCCCAACACCATCCCCTTGGGAAACCCACAGGGGAAGAAGCGCGAAATTGGGGGCCTCGATGACGAGGGAGAGGGCTCCCATCAACAATACAAGCGCCATATCCATATGATCAACGGCGGCAACACCGGAGGCGATTCAACGAGCCAAAGGAAGAAGTGGGCACAGTCCCTTTACATTGGAGAGGTCAATCACATGCCCCCAACTAAAAGGCCGAGGGCGGATCCAATCTTCTTCACAGATGCGGACCTCCCCTCGGGTTCTCTGCCGCATAGGGATGCCCTCGTCATCCGCACTGAGATCAACGACGCCATCATCCACCGGACTTACGTCGACACGGGGAGTTCTGTCAACGTCATGTATCTCAGCACTTTCCAAGAGTTGGGACTCGACAGGGGGTCCCTCCGACACATCAACACCCCCCTCTCCGGATTCACGGGGGACAGCATAGACGCCGAGGGCGTCATCACCCTCATGGTTGAATTCGGCGACGGATCCCATAGAGCCAAGCTCGAAGTGGAATTCGTCGTCGTCAACCTCGACTGCGCACACAACATCATCCTCGGCCGGCCCGCCCTCGAGGATTTGGAGGCCGTCATCTCTATGAGGCATCTCTGCCTCAAGTTCCCCACACCCACCGGCATCGGCTGCTCGAGGGGGAATCAAAAGCTCTCCAGGGTATGCTACCTTCAGCTTACCAAGAAGGTTAGTAAGACTGAACTTCGTGTTGACGCAATCACCACCAAAGCCTTGGAGGAAGAGGAAGGCAGGCCGAGGGCTGAGCCTGCCGAAGAGACCGAGGACTTGATACTCGATCCGGCCAAGCCGGAGAGAGTCCTGAAGATTGGAGCCAAGCTCCCCGAAGACTTGAAGGATGGCATCACCAAAGCCCTCCGCGCCTACTCCATTGTTTTTGCATGGGGGGCGGAGGATATGCCAGGAATTGACCGAAGGGTCATCACCCACCGCCTTGCGGTGGACCCTTCGGCCAAACCAGTGCAACAACGGAGGAGACCCCTCTCGGCCGAGAGAAGGGAGTTCGTGAAGAAGGAGGTAGCCATGCTCCTCTCCATCAAACATATCAAGGAGGTGAAATACCCCTCTTGGTTAGCAAATGTGGTCCTTGCACAGAAGCCTCCTACTTTCCGCATGTGCGTGGATTACACGGACTTGAATAAGGCGTGCCCAATGGACCCCTTCCCCCTGCCAAACATTGATCAGCTGGTAGATGAGACTGCGGGATGCGAGATCATGTCCTTCCTAGACGCATTCCGCGGATATCATCAAATCTACATGCATGAGGAGGACGCTGAAAAAACTGCCTTCATGACACCCGAAGGCATCTTCTGCTACCTCGTGATGGCCTTTGGCCTCAAGAATTCGGGCGCCACCTACACCCGAATGGTGGCCAGAGTCTTTCAAGCTGTCTTGGGGCGCACTATGGAGGCCTATGTTGACGATATGATTGTCAAGAGCAAGAAGGCCGGCACTCACGCCGAGGACCTCCAGGAAATCTTCGCCATCATGCAAAAATTCAACCTCCGGTTGAATCCAAAGAAATGCACCTTCGGCGTGCAAGGAGGGAAATTCTTGGGCTACATGGTGAGCCGAAGGGGTATTGAGGCCAACCCCGAGAAAATTCAGGCCATCATCAACATGGAGCCTCCACGCAACGTCAAAGAAGTTCAACGGCTGACGGGTCGCCTGGCAGCCCTCAACCGTTTCCTCTCCAAGTCAGCCGAGAGGGCCCTCCCCTTCTTCCAAAT